GGAGTCCACTAAGGCCATAATCACTTACGCTGGGAGGAGAAATTAGAGGAGTTTGGAGTGAAAGCCAGGAAAGAAAGTTTTTGAAAGGCAGGGAGGAAATTCTATTTGGGGAAAAACCTAGGGTTTATTTTCTTTATGCATGTTTTTGTTTGGTTGATGTTTTATTTCTTCTTGTGGTGTCACTAGCGACGTCTAGGGTATGAGAGAGACGATTTACCTCTCAAAAAGTAGATCAACCTTGTATCTTGCTTGTTTTGCTTTGATTGTTATAAGAGCGGCCCTTGTTCGTGTTTTTCCAACTATTTATTGTCGTTTCGTGGCGGTTTGTTCGTTGATTTTAGTTCTGAAATGTATAATTAACCTCATCAGACCCATTCATCATTGCCTTTAAAATGAAGATGGCGGCTCAAATAGCTATTGATGTCTCGATGAAACTTAAAGATTTTATTAAATAACCATTTTTTTCAAGAGTTTTATAACTCTTCCTATAGTATATTTATTAATAGAGTATAACCAATATAAAAAACATGAAGTGCCACTTGAATCAAACCAGCCGCTCATGGAGACCAAAATTCCAAAATTACACTACAACATTGAAATCAACCACAAAAAAAAAACTTTTCCATTGATTGGATGGAAAAATGGCCTTTCATTTTTTTTCTATAAAATTATGTACTGTAGGCTGACAATCCCAAATGTATAAAGCAGGAAAGTAAAAGATCTTTAATCATAATGCTAGCTACCTAAATTTGATTTTGTTTCAATACTGTAGACCTGGTATATTAGTCTAACATGACAGAGATGAATCTAACAATCGATGGACAACAGTTTTACATAAACAAAAATCCAACAATCTGTGAACAGCAGCTTTTCAATTATAGCAATACGTGGAGACTAGCTTTCTAATTATAATGTAAAATTAATGCTGCATTCCTGAATTAAAGACTGGTTCTTAGATTTATTTTTTTCTTACACAATTATTTCTCCACCTATTTATGCCTGACATTTTCTTAAAAGACTAAAATTAGTCAATAAATCTCCCCTTTCCTACTCTTCAACATTCTCATTCTAATTTTGATGATAGTATCATGGCCATTAAGATTCTACTCTCTGTGAGGCTAATGGATCCTTCAATATGGATTCTCTCCACTAAGTTGATAGAACTTTTGTCAATAATAACAAAAGTCAATCTTGGCTAGCAGACTGGTAAACAAATAAGCGAGATAACGAATAAGCAAGATATCCTCTAAGAAAAAAAAGACAGCGGCACTACCCTGAAAGAGCAAATGATTAAAAAGCTAACAAAGTCAATGCTAGAAATCAATCCCTGAAAGGAAAATTCATATCCACAACATAAAATATCCACAAGATAGATACCATAATGAAGAATTCTAAGGAAGCCAACAATAAAGACAAAACGCAACACCTCCCTCCTTTTTTATTTCGGCCAAAGAAATAGTAAACTGAAGACAATTAACTCGGTTGCTCAAAGGTAAATTATAATAAGCTCTCCTAATTGTAAACAAGCGACAAATTATTACTTGTATGGTAGACTCTAGCACACCAAATCATATCACTGGAGACAAAATATATTCCAAAATTACAACCCATACAATTACAATTCTAATATTAAAATGATTGATGGGCACTCTTAAAAGATAGTCCGAATATGTTTTGTCATTTTTAAAAGGTCTAGAACTTAATAATGTGCTTCTAGTGCCTAACATAGATTAAAAATTGGTATCAAACAGCAAACTCACTGGAAACAATAGTTAGGTTGGTAATTTCTCATTTAAACTTTATCACTCTCAGGATTAGAACTCAAGAAAAATGATTGGCAATGTGGATTCAGGACTTTTAACTTCAAAAAAATGATACATCAAATAAGATACTGGCTTAACAACTGGTTGAGTATCCATCAAAAACTCTAATTCAAATTCCAAACATACTTCAAATAATGATAATAACATTAGGCATTAGCACAATTGCCTAGAATATCAAAACTTGACTTAGAAAATTGAATTCTTTCTCTATTCATAAACAAAAATTCAAAAGACTTTAGTTTGAAATTTTTCATCTAGCAAAACGCACTTATAGTTCCCATCCCAATCAAACATACAAATCTTTCCAACATTTTACTTTAGCCCATAGTGATGTGCGGGAACCACATTGACTGGTCTTCCCCAAAGAAAATCCTTCTACCTAACCATAATATACAATTTTACAATTTAATCCTTCTCGAATGTAAACCATTAAAATAAAATAGCTCTCCAAGCATATCTATTTTAGGTGGACAAACGTTCACAGCTCATCTAAAAAATATAACCGCATTCCAAGACTCTTATCTATTTTAGGTGGACAAACGTTCACTGCTCATCTAAAAAATATAACCGCATTCCAAGACTCTTCAAAAGGTCACAATTTACTTTCTTAAACTGAATGTAATGAGAAAAAAGAAATACAGGCATACGGAAAGCAATTCTATGCATACTTCAATAAATACGATTATGACACTTAAAATAGAGAATTAATACTTGTCCAAGGCACAAACTGAAAGTAATTTTGATGAAAATAGAAATAGTTAGGGGAAGCCATAGGGTCATGCAAGTAGTATGACCAGTCAACACTTCCACTGAGAGAATGGGTTAGATGACATATCTATGCATTAGTTCAAAGCAAGCTTCGAAAAACCCAGCTTTTCATTGAAAACAATGAATGAAGCTTGGACAAATAAAGCTCCCTGGTACTCATAATACTTCTTTAACATCCATACAAGTCTACTTAATCATTTTTGTGGAGGATGATAACTTCTAAGAGAAGCTGTAGGACATAACGACCACAAGATTGAAAAAAGACAAAAAAAGGACATAAATCAGCATATTAGAACACAATAAAAATTATTTATCAGATCTAAGTTCGGATAATATATGAAAAAGATAGTTACGGTTAAAGTTTAGAATAAATCACCCAAGATGGTACAATGTCATAAAACCCATAACAGCATTAGAAATTGTCTGTTTCTGTCCTCCAAGATGAAATCAAAGTTGTAACAGGGCCAAAGCTATTATATCCAAACATCATCAATCTTCATTCTATCCCTCTTCCTTCATTCCAGATGAGATTTCATTCCTTCAACTTGCCCAAGCCTCCTTTACTTTGTCACACCGTATACATGGGCCGAGTATAGTATCAATCACTTTCCTAGATAAAGATTAATTTCGAGGATTGACAAGAAATGGACAATCGACAGTTTTGAGGGACATGCGACTAATGTCAAAGAAAGGTATAAGATATTTATCTTTATAATTTTTCTTTAATCACTCAATGTGGAGAAGTAAAACCCCTCACCTCACTTCCTGAAGCGGGAACAATACCACCTCAGCTACTGACCATTGCTTATAATTCCTTCAGAGAAAAGATCAGTTCAAACATGTGCTGCAGCACAGTTTTAACTCTTGGATATCAGCACTTTGACTAGAGAAGTCACATAAAATGAGCCTAGCTGGATAGTATAATTCATGAAACAACATGTCAATCCTTCAAATTTTTTAAACTCCATAATAATGCACTTTTGCCAAAATAGCCTTCAAATAGCGTCAAAATCAGGGTTCAACAGTAACCATGTCACCAAAGCAAAACTTGAAAAGCTTTTTCTAACAGAAAATCAACAAAAACTCAGCAACAAACTATTATCAAACACAGTCAATTATTTGTAGAGTGAAGAATACTCATCACAACTATACACACATGATAAAAATGGACTTGTCTGGCATCAACTTTATTTGATGTATCACATTAAGCTTTTTCAATATTAGAGAGAAACAATAAAGCACTTGACTAATTTTATCTAATGGCTGCTACCAAAAGGTTTTAGATTTAGGAAAGTACTCAGAGACAAATCAAAACAAGTACTTCCCATTTGCATCTAATACAACTAAAAAATCAAGTCAACTGCCATGGTTCAGTACCTAATGATTCAATCCGAACCTTGCATTCTCCTTCAGTCTTTCCCTGACTCAAATATGTATTAGCTTTTTTTCTTTTTCCCAACAATTTTCTATATGGTTGAATCATTTGTTTCATCATTCCTTAAACCTTTAAGGATGAAAAGTTTGTAAAATATGTCAGCCAGCTTTTCTTAATATTCAAGTAAAGAAAAAAGTCCATAGATATCAATCCAATCAATGAAGCAGATGGAAAAAGGATGCCTGCGGGCGCATGAAATATATATATATATATATATATATATACAATGAAAATGTATGAGAAATTGTAAAACAATATAGAGAGTTTTTTGCTTTCAAGAGAAAAGATTAACATGAGTGCAATTTTTTTAGGATAGTCAAACTTTATGAGTTCAAAAAGCTTAGAATGCCTTCTTGTGGTCTCATCTGATAATTTGACATGCCATTTAAGTTTGATACAGCCAATAGCTTAATGATTCTCTAACGTGACATGAGTGATCTTCCAAAGTTTATGCAGAATAATGGTGTACTATAAAAGAAAAAAAAATGCATGAGTAAATTTAGCAACTTGAAATAAGGGTGTCAAGTAAGAGAGAAGCCACAGCAGGGATGATAAGCACAATCATATCTCCAAATAAGTAGTCGAGTGCCTTAAAACTTGGATATCAATATTCATCTTTTATACACACAAAACCAAATCCACAAATAATGCCAAAAAAAAGTAAACTTTGCTAACAAAATTGACATTGAGCTCAACCATCCAGTAGAATCCAATTTAATCAAGCAGGTTGGATGCAATCAAGGCACGTTTTATGCACTCGCATTTTATGCAAGCAAATCTATATTAAATTAAGACGAAATCAGCATCATGAATTGCCATAGCCCGATGCCTGACCCTAAAACAAGTAAAAGGATTTTCTCTCCCCCGATAACAAATTAATGTCACAAGTCCGCATTACTTGCATTCAAAGCGTAACACACAGATTTCAATGAATGAAAACAAGAGAAAGAAGAAAAATGGGCTGAGAAGTCGACCTCCTGAAACGCGGCAGATCGTGCACCCTGACCACTGCCTACAAAAGCCTCAGGCGTATCCACGGGCTCTGGCTTCAAGTTAGTCGGTGGCAGCTCCGCAAACTTGCTCGTAGCATCATCCTCCTCCTCGCCAAGCTGCAGCAAGCGGCGGATCTCCGATGAAAGATCGGATGAGACCCGGCTGTATCCCTGGACCAAATTAATTAGATACATCAAAAACACAACATAACCTAAATAGGATTCGTGGTAAAGAACGGAAAAATCAGGGTTCCTCACGAGAAGGGAGTTAGCAGGTGAGGCTTCATTGAGCTCGGCCTTCCACTCGCGCAGCATCAGGTTGACCTGCTCCTCGAGCACAGCGACGTCGCCGACGCGGCTCTCTCGGCGAGCGGATTGGAGATCGGAGAACATCCCTTGCAGGTCATCGACGCGGTTCTTCGCCTTGTCCTTGAACATCTGGTGCGACGCCGACCTGCAGTCCTTCCCCATCCTCCCACTTCGCTTCCCCGATCTAGTCGAAGAGGGAGAGTGGTCACGGATTTAGATGTCGTGGAAGGGGATCGGTTCAAACCCTAGAGGAATACAGGGAAGGAGATAGTTGAAACTCGGATAATGGCGAATAAATCTTCCGGTAACTTTTCCGCACGCCGCTGCAGCGGCGTATTCTTATCTCGGTGGTTTCCGCGAAACACGTCTCCCCTCTCAGAGAAAAAGAAGAGAAGAACCCAAAAAAAGTGTAAAAGGTGGCAAGGGGAATTTATGCTGCTGCCAGAACAAGTGGTAAATTTTGAGTGTGTATTATGTTGAAAAATATTACAACAATAATTAATGTAGCTTTATGTTTAGAAGAATATTTTATCTGTATTATTTATAAAAAATAAAATATTATTTAAGTATTATATGTTGTTATTCGATTATTTTATAATGTTATTAGAATATTCATCCGCCTTATTTGATTTGGGGTTATTTATTTGGTATATTTACTTTGTATTTTAATTTTAACTATGTCATTGGAATAACGCAGCTCCAAATCAAGTCACCCGCATTATTTGATTTGGGGTTGTTTATTTAGCATATTTACCTTGTATTTTAATTTCCACTATGTCATTGGAATAACGCAGCTCCAAATCAAGTAACGTGGAGAAATATTCCAATAAAATTTTAGCCCCAAATCAAGTATCGCGAGAAATATTTCAATAACTCCACAAAATAATCAAATAACATCATATAATACTCGAATAACACGCTATTTTTTTTTTACAAATAATGCATATGGCATATTATTATAACACAACAGAATATTTCGAACTATTAAAATACAAACGTAACTCTACGTTCGGAGTTCTCATCTTATATTTTTCCGTATTAAGTCGTCAGCCTTAATACTAACAATAAATTTACAATCAATAGATTCTAAAATTTAATGTTTTTATATATATAATATGCATGTATATGTTTGAAACATAAATGAAAAAATAAAAAAGGACCATATGTATATCATTTAATTTTCGAAGTATTTACATGTTTTGTGTGTGTGGCATAAACATTCATATTTATACATACACCAATCAAATTTTTAACATCAGATTAAAAATATTATTATTATTAATTTTTAAAAACAAAATATATTTTTTCATGTATATGTTTATGATATCAAGGTGTGATTAATATAAATATCGATCTTTGGGTATTAGTATTTAAATAAAAATGAATTGTGTAATATTTTGTAAATTTTTATTAACATTTTTAATATTTGCATACACGTCATGATGCAACACAATTATTATTTATTTTAATATATAAAATCTAAATTTTTAATCTTTACAAATATGTTTTCTTAATTGTCCATTAAAATGTGTAATTCCCTTTAAGCAGTAAAAATAATGATATTTTTATATGATATGAAAGATTTGGACGGTATAAATATAAAAAGTGTAAGTGTTAGAAGTGTAATTATATAAGAATTGGGAGGTATGTATGTAAATGCCACTTAATTTTATTTAATTTAAATATTTTTTTCTTAAATAATAAAAGAAAATTTTAATGCACTCTTTACTATTTGAGTAATAATAATATTATTAAAATCATAAATATTCAAAATTAACAAAGGGCAATTTAATAGAGAGCATCCGAAAACTTTCTTATTTAGAAATCAAGCACCTTCTTTCATACATTTTTCAAAGTCTCGGTCAAATATCAAATTTCATGATAAAATCTCAAACTATTTTGTTTTATTTTTATCAAATTCTCAATAGTTTGATCGTGGCATGTGTAAACACATTGGTTTAGCAGTTCAAGCAATCATTTAGGTGCTTAATTTGTAAATATCAGAATTTCAAATGTTCTGTAAGTAATTGTCCCTAGAAAAAATTGTTTCCATATCTTAAAAAAAAGTTGTTGAATCCTGATTTGCATTTGATAGAGAAAAAAAGAGAAAAATACAAAGTATAGAGCACATGATGAACAATTCAAAGAAAAATATCTGTTGTTTATTCATAAAATGATTTATATATTTAATAATGAGGACCTTTTACAAATTTACATGCATACCTTAACTTCCACGCGGGTATTACACGTCATTATTATTAGTATAAATTTGCTCGACTTATTTAAGGCGTTACATATCAATATTATCTCTTTAACACATTTTTATAATCACAACTGATATTGACATCTTTTCATTTTCATAATTGATTTTGACATCTTCTAGTAATCATAACTGATATTAACGTTTTTATGTATTTATAATTGATATTGACACATTCATCGTATTTATCTTTCCTATCATGTATATCTTGCATATCTTTCCCATCATGCAAATCTTTCTGTATCCATAATTGATATTGACACATTCATCGTGCATATATTCATCATGTCTATCTTTCTTATCATGTTTATCTTACACATCATATTAATCATACATATCATGCATTATATATATCTTTTATGCATATCTTTCATATCTACCAATATGAAAAATCTAATGAAATATAAATCTTACTAAACTGCAGCATAATGTGAGCAAAAAATATTTTGAAATAAAGATGGTTGCTCCTAAAAGGTCATTTGAAGAATCTACTGCAATATAAATCTTTCATATCATGTAAAAGCATATCTTAAACGACTTTCTCGAATGTCAGCCCTTCTCCTAAGCTACCAAATCTTCTTCTTTATTCATCTTAACACTTCAATTTTCCATTACCCTTTACTAATGTTGTGTTAAAACCCTTATGGAGCTCGCAACCCACAATCAAAACAACCTGCCAAGTTTGATGTCTCTTACGACTACTGGAAACAAGAAAAGCATGAAAATCAATGCATATCTTAACGTGAAAATAATGAATGAAATGAAAGTCTCAAATAGTGTGAAATAGAGTTTCACACTCACCAATTTTCCCCCAGAGCTCTAAAAGGCCATTTGTGGCTCTATGCGAGCCACTCGTTCCTTTTATGTTTGCGGCTGCAACATTGGCCCAAGCAAAAGCCTTGCAAAAACTCCATTGCTAGGGAGGATTGACACAGGGGAGGAGGGGGAACAAGAGAAGAAGATCAGGTGAGGGAAGAGGGAGTGGGACGCTACTTGTTGTAGCTCGTGCGACTTTCCCGATTGTCGCTCGACCCAACTGCTACATTGTAGGGTCGCGGTTCTTCTCGTAAGTCGTGAGATGCTCGTGGGATCGAACACGTATGGGAACAAAAAAGGGGGAAGGGTTTCAAAGGTTTAGAATAAGGATCCCACCCCTTCAACCAAGACACACACTTAAGATCATGTGAGTGAGGCAATGACTACAGTAATAATGGGGATTAAGGTTAAGTAAGGGTTTAATTAAATAAATTAAACATATTACTTCTCATTTTTATATCTTCCAATCTATTAAAAATTTATAGATAGAATCATATATCAAATTTCTTGATTTTTTGTGTAGAATTTTATAAAAATAATTCAGTTAAAATTTAAAAGGTGCGACAATTAGGATACATTTTAAGTCGCCAAAAAAATTTATCAAACCTCTCAAAATAGGTCTTTACAATGATCTCCTCCATGAAGTGGAGGTTATTGCAGCACATCTTAAGCTTAATGAAGCTATTCAAATTGAGTAAGATTGCTTGAGACAAAAAAAACCATCTATGTTAATTATGTGGAAGACGGTTGCAATTCTAAGTGTTTCAATGTGTATACAACAACATTGACATGATAAAGGCATTTTGAAAATCAAAGATAGTAATGTGTTTTGGATATGTGATAAGGAGCAAATCATTACTAGTGCTATAATTTTTGTTCAAAGCATTTTTACCGCTATGGAGGTTAACTTGAATACTTTTAGGTGGGATATCTTTGGCACCACTTCATCCATACTAAGAATACATCGGTTGTATTGACCTTATTTTTGATCAACCAACTCAGATAAGATTAACCCCATATTTGAACATTTTTGGACTTGGCATGGTCGTGGCTGGTCCGAGCATAGCCACACCCATAAGTTTATGGCCGTGGTCATGCCGAGCCTAGGTGGTTTGTTTGGTATGCTAATAAGTAACCCATACAATTGAATTCTCGTACAACTCTAAAACAATAATCTGTTACTCTTTCGCCTTGAATTTTCTAGCACGCACCACAATGTAAAAAGTAGATCGTGTAAATATGAATTTAGTAAATTCTAAGGTGTTTTGTTTGGTATGCTAATAAGTAAGTTCTGATAAATTTTGAGAAATTGTTTAATAGATTTAGAATGATTTAACATGATTTATCAAACGAAACATCCAATAATAGATATTAAATTAAAAAATATAAATGAGTATCCAAAGCCTCAATAAGGCATTTACAGTAATTAATAATTAATAAATTTTGTGTAAACTAATTATTTATTAAATAATAATTTAATATTAACCAATTAATTATTAATTATAAAATTTAAAAATTACATAAAATTTTATTTAATAATTTAAAATTTCAACTGTATCTTTATTCAGTAATTAATTATTAAATAATCACATATAAATTCATCTATCTATAATTAATTAGATAATGTATAAATTAAATATTAATTATTAATTAATAAAATTAATTTAAACAAAAATAAATTTAAAAACCACAAAGTGTTGCTTGAAATCTCAAGGCGGTTAAATCTTGAAAATTGTTTGATATGTTAGTAATTAAATTCTGATAAATCTTAAGAAATTGTTGGTAGTTTTAAAAGTATTTAGCATGATTTATAATGATTTATTGAATATCCAAAGATAAATATTAAATAGAAAATATAAATGAGTATTCAAGGCCTCAAGATATGTAAAAAAGAAGCATTTACATTAAATAATAATGAGTAATATAAATTAATATTCTTTTTAAACTAGTTATTTATTACACAATAATTTAACATTAAGCAATTAATAATTTTAATGAATTAAAAATTATTGATAATTTAAAAAATATATATTTTTAATTAAATATTAAAAAACTTACTTATAAAGTTATCTAATTATTATTAATTTAACAATATAAAAATTATTTATTAATTATTAGTCAATTATAATAATAATCTTAAGTTAAATAAAAATAAATTAAAACCACAAACCTATCTTCTTATTTCTGTTTACCCAAAGCCCTCTCTAACATCCTCCCCTTCTCCCAATTTCGCCCAAACTTCCAATCTTTACCCAAAACTATCGCTTATGTCTCTCCCTAATTGGTTCGCCCAAAACCATCGCCTTCTTGAACAAACATTTGTCATACAGTCACCATTAGAGCT